AAGTTTAGGAACTGGAAAATTTGTTCCGAGTGCATTAAATCCAGCGTTGCAAATATTCGGAGGAATCGAAATTGACGGTGTGGCGATGAAAGCCGGCGTGTACCCCGGCGATTACCTGCTCCAGGTAAATGGTATTGATGTGCGGCAGGTGCCACATGATCAAGTTCTCGATTTGATCAAGTCTTTTGGAGATACAGTTACCTTCAAGGTACCATTGAGCAATTTTTTGCAAACTTGTTTTCAACTTCAGTTCTTACACTTCTAATTCGTCCTCGAAAAACTATTCGATTTGAATTCCCGAAAACATTCGGAAAGTTTGCGAACTGATTCACTATTCATCGAGTTTAAAACTTAAAAAAGTCCAAACTATCATTAATGCTCTTTTTGTTCTCATTTACACATAATGGGGGGAACTCAAAATGGAAAAGAATGCTGCGAAGAAGCGCAACGATGAACGATAACTGAGCAGAATCTAAAATTTAATCTTGGATCCTGTAAATTGTTGAAAATTGTTGCAGGTGATAACAGTTAATCCGAATTGCCAATATCTTGATAACGTCAGCCTGACAATGCCTTCAATATCTCGTTCAGGTATCACTTCTGACGTTCTCTGTAACCACTGTGCCGCAGCATGCTGTTCAGCGCTTCTGAATCAAAATTTCGCTGTTACGTTGTTGCTTAATAGCATTTCCGCTATTTCAGGCATGCATTAGTTCTGCTATAGAATAAAAACTTTTCCATTGCTACTTTCGACCCACACGTGGTACCATTCTGGCTGTCACGTTCCCGGCTAAAAAAAAAACAGATCGGATTCGTTAAGAGAAAATATCTTGGGCTTTCTAGTTCCACTCTTCGATTTCCGGTTGCATTTTGCCACTTTTCAGTTGTGATTTAGTGTATTACAACAAATTCCGGGGAAAAAAAGCATTTGAGGCAATCACGGAAAAGACGGTGCACTCTGTGCAATGCAAGTAGCAGATACTGATGTGGGCAAGTGGCTTTGGAGAGGAGGCATCATCTGGATCCCAATGAAACTAAAAACCTTGCAGCAACAATTTGGGTGACTTTTTGCTGTTTCACGCAGATTTCCATGTAAAACAAATGGTACCACGATGACGCACGTCTGTAGTTGTGTGCATGCTTCTACTGAAAAAAAGCTTCTAGCTCGTGAATATCGCCCACCAAAGCCGCCACGAAATTCGACTGCCAGCTACTCATTGCCGCGCAGAAGTCGTCT